GCGCTGTGGGGTTATCTTAATTGTTACTCTTTTTTAAGCTCTAGAATCTTCTGAAACATCCTGCGCAGGTGCAGAAGAAACCCATTTGTGTCCATTCACAGAGGCCACTATGAAGAAATACTGTTTTTGTACTCTGAGAGTGGTTCCCTTAAAGTACCTCTCTCTTCCTCTCTCTGTGTGTGGCTTTTTTGAGTTGTAAAACCAAAGATGAATGAGATTCTGTTTCTTTCTCCTAGTCAGGCTGACATGCCTTTCTCCTGCTTCCTAGCCCCTCACCCTATGCTATTCAGTATGTATCTGTAAATGCCCTGGTTATCTATGTTGGCTACCCTCCGAGTGACTCTTAAACCTTTTCTTTAGGGCTATGTGCACTTTCTGGAATCTTTCCTTGTATCAAAAGAGCTACATGGGTCATTGTTGTGAGAACTGTCGACACTGCTTAAAAACACTGTTTGCGAGCAGCATAAATTCAAACTCCTGCCTGTAGGGATGTTGGTTGAACGGCAGCAGCAGGACTGTTTAAACGGAGCGCAGAATCGCTCTAAAAACCTCATCGCTAAGCGAATACATCATTAAACAAGGCAATCGCTAAGCAAGGCACCACTGTACTGTAATTAAAGAAACACTCTAATTACATAGGTAGAGAACAGGGCTGCTGCTGCTATGCAAGAGGAATAATCCCCATACTGTCTACAGACCCAGAGTATTTCAGGAGATGCAGTTTGGAAAAAAAATGTATAAAACAACTTCATGCCCAAGCCTGTCTGCTGCCAGTGCAAAGTGAGCTTGTGAACTTATGACAAGGAGGATATGCCCCCAAGCATCAGAACACATGTACCATTGGGATTCAGCCCCAATGGACTAGCCATAAACAGTGCTTAAAAACACCGTTTGCGAGCAGCATAAATTCAAACTCCTGCCTGTAGGGATGTTGGTTGAATGGCAGCAGCAGGACTGTTTATGGCTAGTCCATTGGGGCTGAATCCCAATGGTACATGTGTTCTGATGTTTGGGGGCATATCCTCCTTGTCATAAGTTCACAAGCTCACTTTGCACTGGCAGCAGACAGGCTTGGGCATGAAGTTGTTTTATACATTTTTTTCCAAACTGTGCATCTCCTGAAATACTCTGGGTCTGTAGACAGTATGGGTATTATTCCTCTTGCATAGCAGCAGCAGCCCTCTTCTCTACTTATGTAATTAGAGTATTTCTTTAATTACAGTACAGTGGTGCCTCGCTTAGCGATTGCCTCGTTTAACGATGTATTCGCTTAGCGATGAGGTTTTTAGAGCGATTTTGCGCTCCGTTTAGCGATGTTCCCTATGGGGAAATTTCGCATAGCGATGTTTGGGACCTTGCCTCACTTAGCGATAACACTTTAGGTCCCACTGTTTCGCTTAACGATGTCCGTTTTCGCTATTTTTAAAGTGTCTTAAAATGTTCAAAAACTGTTTTAAATGCTTGGGATCGTTAGTGCACCTTGTAAAACCTTTGCAAACTTAATTTGGCTTTGTTAATTTTTGGTGAATTTTTTCCCCCATTGGAATACATTGAACTGCAGGTTTGACAGCTGTGTCTGAAGGCATTATGGGCACTGTTACTGGTGTAGCTTTGGGCAAGCAGCATAGTCCCAGAGCATCTTAGGACTGGCAAACCACTACTGAATAACTTATACCTTAAAAATCAAGGAAGAGTAATCCTAAATTGTAATCAACCTTCTGGCATGTAATTAATATTAAACCAGTTTTACCATTAAATACATATTTGTACGTGTAATACCTTTATAATGAAAGAAGATATATTTTCACTTTGAAATGGTTTAAGAATGTGCATCTATATCTGAACATATTGATAAACAGAACACAAGGAGAACAGGAAAATATATAAAGAAACTCAACACAAAAGTATGACACTAGAAAAGAAAGTACGCTCGTACGTGTCAAATCTAGGAAAACACCATCTTAACGCTACCAACAATTACATTATTTCATTTTAAAATTACATAAATATTACCTTTCTTGCAAAAGAGTGCATTTAAATAAGTCTCTGCTTGGCACTCAATTTTATCAGTGTTCGACTGGCCCTGAGATGACAATTCCTCTATAGATGTTGACTGCAAAGAACCAATAACTGTTGTATGATCCTAAAAAAGGGATAAGAAAATACACATATCTAAATAAGGGATAATGGGGGGTGGGGTGGGCATTCAAGTTGACATGAAGACCAAGAAGGATTTCTTCTATAGAACTGTATTTAATTTTTTTACACCATCCATTAATTTGAATTTAAACAAAAAATTGGGGAAAATCTCAGAAAACAACAGTTTATAGTGCATATACTTACACTAACTGCTTCTTTATGTAAATTGCAAAATGAGCATTTTTCATCCATAGACCAGTCTGTCACTTCTTCTGGTTCACAGTCTGGAGAGAAAAATTAAACATAAATAATAAACCTAACATGTAATTCAATGTATTTAATATTCAATTCCTCTTTAATTGCACAGCCTTTTTACTACACTTAAGAAGATAAAATTTTGTACTGAACTGTCAACATCAGGAAGACAATGGCCAAGATCCAACTGAACACAGGCAAGATGAAAAGTGCTATCACAGCACAGCAGCATGGCATTTGCTAACTGCAGCCAATGAACATGAGGTGATCACCATTAATACAACACAATCTCGCTTGTGCAATGAGGTGCTAGATACCTGTGGCAGCTGTGAACAAAAAAAAAAATCAAATCACTCACAATGCAATGCTATTGTGTGAGGGATTTGACCCAAAAGGATACTGGACATATACTGTATACATTGTTTTCATACAGATAAACAGGGTGGATTGTAAGTACTGCTTAATGTTAATTGCACTGAAAGCTGTTATGTGCCATTAGGTTGGCACCAACTTATATAGTGATCCTAAATAGGGCTTTCAGGATAAATAAGATTTATGGAGTGTTTTGCCAGTTTCACATTCCCAATGAGTTTTCATGGCCAATTCGGAACTCAAGCCCAAGTCTGCTAAGTCTTAGTCCATTTATTTATCTACTACATCACACTTGGTTAGCTGCATGATAATTCCACTGAAATCAGTACATCTGTTGTAGTGATCTGAACTCCCAAGTATTTCAGTAGGCACAAATAACTTATTCTGAATCCAATTAAAAATGAGATCAATTAAAAGACATTGTGATAGCCAAACAGGAAAGCTGGTATTTGTTTTTTTTTTAAAGATGGCTTTTACACTCTTTTTATCATTTAGAAGAATACAGCCAGACCCCTAAGGCAATGTATTTACACAAAAAAATAGTAGTGCTTCTTCACACACACGTTCCCAGTTCTAGTAATTTTACTGACAGAATATTCTTTAAAGCAACCAAAGACTGTTTATTGAGACCAACACACTTCAATGGTATCTCAGTTCACTCCAAATGTAAATGCAGGATCTAGAAGACTAATGTAACTTTGTCACAGTACCATTTAGTATGAGAAGTTAGGGCTCAATGACCAATCACATGTTCTGCATGGGAAAAGATTCATGTATGTTCTTAACTAAGGCTGGGATTGTGGGACGTGGTGGCAATGCGGGTTAAACAGCAGAAGATTCTGTGCTGTAAGGTCAGAAGGCCAGCAGTCGTAAGATAAAATCCATGGGACGGAGTGAGCTCCTGTCACTTGTCCCAGCTCCTGCCAAGCTAGCAGTTCGAAAGCATGTAAAAATGAAAGTAGATAGATACCACCACAGTGGGAAGGTAACGGCGTTCCGTGTCTAGTTGCGCTGGCCATGTGACCACGGAAACTGTCTATGGACAAACGCTGGCTCTATGGCTTGGAAACGGGGATGAGCACCGCCACCTAGAGTCAGACATGACTGGACTAAATGTCAAGTGGAACCTTTACTTTTACCTTAGGGCTAGGAAGCCCCTTGTTGCTCCCAGTTCATGTACACAATACTGAGTTAGACGGACCAAAGTGACTGACTCAATGTAACCTTCATATATTCATATGACATCAGAGCATTCAAAATTTTGAAGAAAATGCAAATTCTGTTGATACAGAACTGAAGCAGGCACCTCCAGAGGTCTAGGAGCCACGCAACTACCCAGTCCCTGGACCTGCAGGACTATATACATCCCTGCAACTTTCATCTCCCAAACTGTGTAAGAAAACAATTCTTTAAATTGAAAATGCCTGCTTCTATGCCTTCATAGCTGAAAATAAAGGACATATGGGGACTTTCTGGGCCCTTTTAAAAAACAAAATAGGTTAGAGGTATGTGCAGGGATGCTGGGACCCCAGGTTTCATGTTACCCACCCTGATATAAGACATAGGGATGAGTGAAAACAGGAAACCTAACCAGTGGGACTCTGGTAAGTCAACTCTGCTGTAAATTCCACTGATTGACTGGGTCAGCTTGCTTCACCAAGCAACAGGATTTCAGCCAGCAAAAGCATGATTGTAAATGTGGTATACAAGACAGTATCTAGTTCAGATTACTTTTCTAACATTACACTGAAATCTCATCCAATACTGGAAATTTCCCGTACAAAAATCTGAACACATTCTCATAATAAGGACAATAATATTCACATTGGCTCTCACAGGTAAATGTAGCCCTTGTTGGATGGCTTTTAGGAACATTAAACAAAGGTCTTCTGTTTATCTGTTAAGCCAATGAGATTGATTTCATTTTAAGCAGAAACAGACTGAGCCTTTTTAGTCCAAAACAAGGTTCTCTCTAAGCTGTGCAACTCATACGCTCTCTCTCCCTATCCCCCCTGTGCAGCATTCCTCCTTCTCTGCATACCCACAACAAATGTTTCCAGCTGGTTTGGTTCCAGTAGTGGCACATGCAAAGGGCAGAGCCCTGCCCAGCAGGGTTGAAAATTAGAGGGAACATTGGTCGAGGATATGCTAAAATAAGCCTAGAGGACTGCCTAATTGAAGCTGCTCCCTAAACACGGAAAGCTAACACCCTTCTCACATTAGGATATGCAGACTTTTCCCCCTGCATCAATGTCAAAAGGAATGGGAGAAAAGCAGAAAGTACAGTGTCTCAAACAAGATGAGAGTAAGATACAATCTAGGGCAAGATTACATCTAGCCTGAGTACATTTTTTGGATAAAAGCAGAGGTACGGCTCGTCTGCTGTTAAGGCAGAAGTACCCCCCAACTCAATGTGCTGATGTAACGACCACAAGAAAGGCTATCTTGGCCGTGAAGAACTCCAAGAAGTGACCAAGAATTCAAAGGGAAATTTCATGAGCTGTGCTTGTACCAGGGAAAGATGCGAAATTGGAACAGGTGAAGGTAGGAGGGAAATTTATGATGCACTCCCTATCAACTCAGGAACCATAAACAATGAAGAATCAATCTTATTGGCTATGCTCAAGTAGGTTGATAAAGCTGCTAAATGAACTTTTATGGAAGAGAAAGAGAATCCCTTATCCAATAACATATACATTAACTGCAGGGCCATTTGTAACTGTAGGACATGGGAGTAGAAGGTTTCTGTGACGTTTGGCCCTGGTGGCCCCTGTGTGTCTTCCAAACACAGAGCACACGAAGGCAAACCAAACACCTTTTCACACGCTGCGACTAGTTGATCACTCAATCAACGTACTTAAGAAAGTTGAAAGTCCATTCAATTTTCACTTTTTCTTAAAACAGGTTTATTAATTACAAATGTTTCTTTAATAATTCATAAGTATTTACTTCAGATTCATCAAGCATCAATCTTCTATTTAAATCTCACAAGTTACTATCCATTCCTCAGACTAATCACTCCTCAGATTCCCAAACTAACTCTCTCTCTCTTTCCCTTCAAACACAGATCCAGACTGTAAACTCTACTCTCCCTTCTCCTCTCAGGCTCCGCCTTTTTAACATCTCTGGTGGCCCCATCTCTCAAACACATCAGCATAGAACATGAATAATACATAACCTATTCAGCATAAGGGTGAACGCCAGTTTCCTCATGCTTGATGTAACAGTAAGTAGCATTTATTTATCAGATACTATAATGGTGTAATGGTTGGACAGTGTCATCGAAGCGACCAACATGAATTTGGCCCAGCTCCGGGAGGCAGTGAAAGACAGGACGGCCTGGCGTGCTCTGGTCCATGGGGTCACGAAGAGTTGGACACAACTAAACAACTAAACAAACAATAATGGTGTAAAATCTGTAGGGGTCTTGTGTAGTCTGGCAAATCAAAGAACAAAAACTGTACAACCCCTTAGACCCAAAAGTTTCAGAATCTGGAGGACAATGTCTGTTGGATCGCAAATGATGTCCTACAACACGGCCATGATATAATGATTTTGCTCCTAGGGAACTATGGCTATAGCCTATGCAGAGAGCAATGTGGCTCTTTTGAATACAATGTCTTACATTAAAGTGAGATAAGAGTTGTTTGTATCAGGGGTTTCCAAACTACGGCCTGCAGGCCACATCTGGCCCGCCTTGCCATTTCATCTGGTCTGTTCCCTTCAGCCTGTGCATGTGGAGGCATGTGTCCATGCAGGTGTGTATGGTCATGTACATTCCTTCAGCTCTAAAAAATGTGGAAAATATATGATGTGGCCTGTGGCGATCGCCTCTGAAGCCTCTATTCCCCAGGCCTTCACGAGGTTCTCGCTCTTCTTCCTTCGTCGCTGCCACCAGGTATTACTGCTTTAATACCACTTAATCAAGGAGACATGTGTGCTTTCAAAACTTAAGTCATTTATTAGATCAGGGAAGTTAACATCTGATTAATATTCAATTGGTAAATCACAGGTTGCTAATCACTTGTATTTGCATCAGTTCTACTTAGACTTTAAATCTCTAATAACTCTCTGTACCATTCAGCATTCTTACAGAACTCTATCTCACTCTAAGTTCACTTTTAAGTTTCACACTGTCTCTCACTCGCAGAATCTCCCTCATGCTCCATAGGTAAAGGTTCCCCTTGACAATTTTTGTCCAGTCATGTTCAACTCTAGGGGGTGGTGCTCATCCCCGTTTCCAAGCCATAGAGCCAGCGTTTTGTCCGAAGACAATCTTCCGTGGTCACATGGCCAGTGCGACTTAGACACAGAACGCTGGTACCTTCCCACCGAGGTGGTCCCTATTGATCTACTTGCATTTGCATGCTTTCGAACCGCTAGGTTGGCGGGAGCTGGGACAAGCGACGGGAGCTCACTCCGTCGTGTGGATTCGATCTTACGACTGCTGGTCTTCTGGCCCTGCAGCACAGGCTTCTGCGGTTTAGCCCACAGCGCCAACACGCCCCATGTCATGCTCCATACACCAGCCTTTATATCCAGCCCCCTCCCTGCTTGGCTCCACTTTCCGTCCCCTCATTGGCTCCTTCTCCACTGCTCAGCTGTGATGGACAGGTGAGGGCAGGGCTGTTCGCTATATGGCCCTCATGCTCTAAAA